AATGTATTTCTAGAATGTTTTCTTGTCACTCTTTGTCTTTAGCTAATTGAATCTCATTTTGTGCTTTTTAGTTTCTAGTTTTGTCCTACATACGTGACAGAACTGGAAGGGACCACAAGAGATTATCAAGTCCAGTCCCCTGTTCTCATGGCAGGACCAAGTCTAGATCACCTCTGACAGATGTTTATCTAACCTGCTCCTAAATTGCCATCATTGGAGATTTCACAATCTCCCTACAGTTTATTCCAGTGTTTAACCACCCCGATGGTTAGGAAGTTTTCTCCTAATGTTCGCCCTAAGCCCCCCTTGATGCAATTTAAACCCATTGCTTCTTGTCCTATCATCAGAGGCCACGGACAACAATTTTTCTCCTTCCTCCTTGTAACACCCTTTTAGATACTTGAAAACTGCTATCATGTCCCGAGTCTTTTCTAAACTAAACAAACCCAGTTCTTTCAGTCTTCCCTCATAGCTCTAGACTTATCATTTCTGTTGCTCTTCTCTAGACCTCCAATTTTTCCACATCTTTTTTTGAAATATGGTGCCCAGAACTGGACACACTATTCCAACTGAGGCCTAATCAGTGCAGAGTAGAATGGAAGAATGACTTCTCGTGTCTTGCTCATAACACTCTTGTTAATTAATCATGTTTGCTTTTTGGCAACAGTGTCACACTGACTCGTATTTTGCTTGTGGTCCACTATGACCCGTAGGTAGCTTTTTCTGCTGTACTCCTTCCTAAATGGTCGCTTTCCATTCTGTATGTGTGAAACTGATATGTTCCTTCTTAAGTGGAGTACTTTACATTTGTCCTTATTAAACTTCATACTGTTTACCTCAGACCATTTCTCTAGTTTGTCCAGATCATTCTGAATTTTGACCTATCCTCCAAAGCACTTGCAACCTCTCCCAGCTTGGTATCATCTGCAAACTTAATAATCATACTCTATGCCATCATCTATGTTGTTGATGAAAATGTTGAACAGAACTGGTTCCAAAACAGACCCCTGTGGAACCCCACTTGTTATGCCCTTCCAGCATGATTGTGAACCGTTAATAACTACACTCTGAAAATGGCGAGGAGTCCTGTGGCAACTTACAGACTAACCAAAGTGTTGGAGCATAAGCTTTCGTGAGCAAAGACCCACTTCGTCAGATGCATGCAGATTCAGACTAACACGGCTACCCCTCTGATACTCTGAAAATGGTTATGCATCCATCCAATAGTAGCCCCATCTAGGTTGCATTAATAGGGTCATGCGAGACCATATCAAGTCTAGGTATACCACATCCACCGCTTCTCCCTTATTCACAAGACTTGTTATCCTATCTCAGAAAGCTATCAGATTGGCTTGACGGGATTTGTTGTTTACAAATCCATGCTGGCTGTTACCTATCACCTTATCTTCCAGGTGTTTGCAGATTAATTCCTTAATTACTTGCTCCATTATCTTCCCTGGCACAGAAGTTAAACTTACTGGTCTGTAGTTTCCTGCGTTGTTCTTATTTCCCTTTTTTATCAATAGGCACTATATTTGCCCTTTTCCAGTCTTCTGGAATCTCTCCTGACTTCATGACTCTTCAAAAAAGATAGCTGAAGGTTCAGCTACCTCCTCTATCCAGTGCCTTGAGTAGTCTAGGATGCTTTTCATCAGGCCCTGGTGACATGAAGACATCTAACTTTTTTTCTGAGTAATTTTAATTTTTATGATAACTTCTAAACCTACCCCATCTCCAATAGCATTCACATAACAGAATAATAGAACTGGAAGGAATCCAAGAGGTCATCAAGTCCAGTCTCCTGCACTCATGGTGGGACCAAGTGCTAAAATACTTGTGGTGTTTGTTTATAGTCATCATTTGTAACTTGGCATAGCCTGCTTTGAGAGGCATTTGTAGTAGCATAGCCAATTTAAAATTTTATTTGTCTGCAAAATAACTGAGTTTATTATGGACTCTTTCTGCTTGGGGGAGGGGAACTAATAACTTCCTGAAATTAATCCATTAATTTGGCAGAGCTGTTAAGTCTTCTGTTTTTCTTGAGACTCCTAATTTCAGACTTCCAGAGCTAGACAAATAGGGAGATTAGACACATCGACTGCAATTCTGGGCCTCACGGCAGAAAAGTCAATGGACCACCATGAACACATAAACCGTGCCTATGCAGATGTGTTTGGTCTGACATTTGGCTGGTGCTGTTCCTGTGTTGGCTGGTGTCCAGTGAACTGCTAGCTGCATTGACTGGTACCCAGTAAGCTGTTGGCACAGCCTGGGCTTCCTCATACCCACCCAGATGCCTTAGCTGCCAGTATTTTCCTGCACGTGCCTAGGAGCTCTGCAGCCCATCCAGGTAACTTAAGAGGGCCCATGGCTCCTGGCTGCTGTGGCTGGTGGCTCCCAGGCCTTTAGGCAATTGCTCCTTTTGTCCCCCATTGGCAGGCCTCAGGGGCTTAGTCTACACTGCAGGGTTTTTGTGCAAGAAGCCTTTTGCAGAAGAGTTATTGCACAAAAACTTTGTGTGCAAAAGTGTGTCCAGACCTCAAAGCACATTGCAAAAGTGATGTGCTTTTGCGCAAGAGAGCATCCACACTGCATGGACATTCTTGTGCAAGAAAGCTCTGATGGCCATTCACAGAATGGCCATCAGAGCACCTGTGTTTTTTCTGATAGGGGTTCTTGTGCAAATACCCCTCTGGAGCTTCCACACCTGCCTTTTTGTGCGAGAGCTGTAGCGCAAAAAGGAGTTATTCCTCGTAGGGAGAGGAATAACTACCAGCAAAAGCCCTCTGTTCTGTCAATTTTTGCGCAAGGGGGGAAAAAAACATGCTTGAGGTGTGGACGCTCCACCAGTTTTTGCGCAAGAACAGACGTTTTTGTGCAAAAAACCTTGTAGTGTAGACATAGCTAGGGAGACTTACCAGAAATCAGGGATGAGTGGAGCCCTGGAAATCTGTAGATATCCATTTTATATTTGTGGGTATCCACATATGTGGATGCAGCTATCCTCTGATCTCTATCTGCAACTGCAAAAACTAATTTTTGTATCCATACAGGGCTCAGAGAGAGAGGAGGAGCTGGGCCTGTAGATGACCTCTGATTCCAGCTCTTTTCTGTTCACCAGCCCAGTTCCCCAAATCTCCACTGAAGGAAAAGAGCCAGAATCATTGAGGCTCTTCTTTCCAGCTGCTTTTTCTACATGAGTTCCTATGAGCTCCCTCATGCTTATGGTCTTTAGTGGGTGCAGAGCAGTGTTCCCAGTCAGCTGAGCACTTGGGTAACTGCCCAGCAGAGTTTCATGTGGTGCCCAGCTGATTAGCAGAGTGCCCTCAGCTGATCACATGGAACAGCATGTGTTTCTATTGGTGGTGCACATCTGCATAATCCTCAGTGCACATAAAATGTATTCCACCCCAGGATGGAAAAACTGAGGGAACATTGGTGCAGGGCACCTAGTCTGATGTATGTCCCAGTAATATGCTCTCTGGCTGTGGGGGAGATCTTACATATGACTCATAGGATGGGAGAAGCTTTTGAAATGTACACCACAAACCTTGACCCAAAGAACTACACTTCTCTACCCTTGTGAGTGGACCCATGTAGGGGACCGTTAACATTACCTTCATTTATGTAGCTTTTTTCTTGGTTTGATTAGATCATTTTAGCACCAATCTTTTGTGGTGTCTGATCTCCATTTCTTGTGGCTGCTAGAATTTCCAATATGGGAAATTATCAGTGAAGAATATTTTAAAACCTGGAGTGTGTTAACTTCAGTTCCACTAGGGCACAGAGCAACCCTACTAACATTTTGTTGGAGACTTTTTTTTTTACTGACTCTCACAGCGCGCCCACTATTGTAGCTGAACTACTGATTCTGTAGTGACAGTGGATATGTTTGTATGGATTTAAAACATTTCATGTGGGATAACTGGTATTAACCAAATGTGCAAATTTGATAACTACTTTCAGGCTCACCATCTTTGTAAGTGTAGTAAGAGAAGCACACTTTTCATGAAAGCATCATTCAGCATCTTTTCTTTGGTCACTGAAATAAAAAAGCTTCTCCGTCTATGAAGTGTTGGTTCGGTTTCAATGACAAATTTTATTTTGTATTAAAATAATTGCAGTTTCTTCGGATCATCTTGAAGAGAGTATGGGACCTGTGCTTCCCCTTATTTTTATTTCTAGAGACTCGCTAAACTAGTATGGCTTTCTTTTCTAAAAATCCCCTTAAAATTCTGCTTTGACTTAATATTAGATCTATTAAATCTTGTCTTTTCTGTTCTTATTAGAGAACCAAGGAGTTCTCAGCTTTAATTTTAAATTAAAAACGGTCTGAATAAAAATCACTTACCGTCGAGCTTCTGATCTTGCAAAAACATATAGGCTTTACACAACTGAAAGTAATTCAGCGAGACTATAAACAACCTACTTTTGCAGGAATAAAGACGTAACTTCCTATACTTAGGACTAGCCAAACCCAATATAGAGATGTAGAGAATGATCTGCTTCATGTCTCTGTTAAGGGCAGTATTTGAATTTATATTTTGGCTAATCTTGTCTAGCTGCCTATTCCTTGCCTCTCGCTGTTTGGAGACACTAAATGCAGACATGGGCAAAAGGGATGGTGCCAGGCACCCCATGCCAGGCGCCAACCACTCCCTTCTGTTTCATGCCTCCGCTCTGCAGCACGAGGGCCTTGAGCACGTTTTCTCTGAGTCTTTTACCCATTTTGTAATCCTTGAAACTCAGAGAACCGGTCCGGACGTAGGCTGAGCTCCGCAGCCACTGCCGCCGGCTGCCTCCAACCTGCCTGTGTTGGAATCGGCCACTCCGTGTCCCCCCGGCCAGTGGTTTTCAGCCCGATCCTGGAGTGTGAGCCCGAAATGCCACCGCTCGTCCTCCTCCCCTCAGTGCGGGCAGCTGCGCCGAGCCGCGCTCCCCAAAGTTCCTGCTGTCCCCATCGGGCTCAGGCGGCAGCGGCTCCGGACAGCGGCTCCCCTGGTTACTGAGCATGCTCGCTCACCGGAGCAAACCCAGCGGGCTGGGGAGCGGAGGCGAGAGCGGCAGGAGCAGGCACTTTAGCTGCAGCACGCGGAGCTGAGCGGGAGCCCGCCCTGGCTCCGGGACTTCCCTCCCAGCAGCGAGAGCACCAGGGCTGGGCTGCAGCGGCCGGCGCGGAGAGCAGGAGCGGACCCCGCCCCGCAGGGGAGCAGGGGTGCGCGGACTCGCGAGCACCGGGCAGCTGAGCGGAGCCCGGGAGGAAGTGAGGGTGCGAGCAGCAGGAGCAAGCAGCAGCGAACCCGGTGGCGGTGACTGGCCGGGGACCCAATGGGGCCAAGCGGCGGGCGCTCGGGAGAAGTGGTAGTAGCCCCGGGGGGAGCGACCCAGCCATGCTCCAGTCTCCAGGGGAGAATCAGTCTCGGCTCTCCCCGCCTCTCCCACTTTCGCTGCTGTTGCAGCAGCTTGGGCCGCCTGCAGTGGGCGCTGGGGAGCCGCCCGGGGCTCCGGGCCCAGCGCAGATGGTAGCTGGCAGCCTGCTCTCCCTGCTGATCCTCTGGACGCTGTTCGGCAACGTGCTGGTGTGTGTGGCCATCATCCGCTTCCGGCACCTGAGGAGCAAGGTCACCAACATCTTCATTGTGTCCTTGGCCGTCTCTGACCTCTTGGTGGCCCTCCTGGTGATGCCCTGGAAGGCAGTGGCCGAGGTGGCTGGCTACTGGCCCTTTGGGGCTTTCTGCAATGTCTGGGTGGCCTTTGATATCATGTGCTCCACCGCTTCCATTCTGAACCTCTGCGTGATCAGCGTGGACAGGTACTGGGCCATCTCCAGCCCTTTCAGGTACGAGAGGAAGATGACCCAGAGGGTGGCTTTGGTGATGATCAGCGTGGCTTGGGCTTTGTCAGTCCTCATCTCCTTCATCCCGGTCCAGCTTAACTGGCATAAGGGCGGGGAGGCTGTTGCTGATGGTGGGGGTGAACTTGACACCACCTGGGCTGCAGCAGGCACAGGCACTGGCACTGCCACCTGGGCGGAAGGGATTGGCACCACTTGGACAGCAGTCATGAGACCCTCTGAGGGGACCCCCAGCAGCAATGAGACCCATGAGGGACAGGCTGAGAGCTGTGATTCCAGCCTCAACAGGACCTATGCTATCTCCTCTTCACTGATCAGCTTTTATATCCCAGTGGCCATCATGCTAGTCACTTACACACGGATCTACCGTATTGCTCAAGTGCAAATCCGCAGGATCTCCTCCCTGGAGAGGGCAGCTGAGCATGCACAGAGCTGCCGGAGCAACCACGTTGACTGCCACCACCACACCAGCCTCAAGACTTCCATCAGAAAAGAGACTAAGGTCTTGAAGACCCTGTCAGTCATCATGGGAGTCTTTGTCTGTTGCTGGCTGCCCTTCTTCATCCTGAACTGCATGGTTCCCTTCTGTGAGAGCCCTCCTAATGACCCACATGCTAGCCTTCCCTGTGTCAGTGAGACCACCTTTAATATTTTTGTCTGGTTTGGTTGGGCCAACTCATCCCTTAATCCCATCATCTATGCTTTCAATGCTGACTTCAGGAAGGTTTTCTCCAACCTTTTAGGGTGCAGTGAGTTTTGCTCTAGCACTCCAGTGGAGACTGTCAATATAAGCAATGAACTCATCTCCTACAATCAAGACACCCTTTTCCATAAGGAAATAGTGACTGCTTATGTCAACATGATCCCTAATGTGGTTGATTGCAATGATGATCCTTTTGACAGGATGTCCCAGATCTCGCCAGATCATGAGATTGCCACAGATTCTGTGTGTGAGCTAGACTGTGAGGGGGAGATCTCTCTAGACAAAATAACACCTTTTACCACAAATGGTTTACATTAAATACCTTATCTACTTTTACTGGATTGTACAACAAATTATAAACACAGAATGAAAAGACTCCTGGACTCGAAGCTGTAATTTGGCCAGTCAGTTCACCCCAATTGTATCTAGCACTTTTAAGGTTTAGAAATTGCCACACAGAGATGACAAAACTAACTTAATTCAACATCCCCTAAATTGAGAGAGGACTAGGGAGTTAAATCAGCGCCACAATATTATCACAATTAGTTAATGTCTTTAAAAAGCTCTGAAGAGGGAAAGTGCTCTCAAAACATTGTGACTTATGAGAAGAGAACAGGTGTTGAAATGATATAGTCACTAAAAAATTCTTAGATTGTTCAGTTCTTGTTTTGTTTGAATTTCCTTTGGAGCTAAGGATTGGGTTGTTGGTGAATTATTTAAATGTACTTATTTCTGTTTCTTTCAAAACAACTTCTCTGTAATTCATGTTTTCCTAGGCAGTGTTATTGCCTTTGATGACTTGCCTGGTTCCGAAGATGAAAATAAATGTTAATGACCAAGAGATTATATTTCCTTCATTAGCCTGAAGATTTGCATTGTATACTCAAATTCCAGCATTTCTACTTGAATGATTAAAGTTACTTATTTCAGTAGCAAACTACAGTCTGTGGAAATAGGATGTTTGAGTTAATTCAGTGCACATAGGAAAAAACTGATTTTTATACTAGCTCTTTTTTGATACATGAGCTAGATTGTTACCTACTGTTTTTGTTCCTTCTCATTAATTGTCATGGATGTCTTTTATTAGTCATTATTTTCTGTATTTAAAATATCAAACAAATATACTTATAAAATATTAAATCTTAAATCTAAACCTGAATGAGCTTTTAAGAGTATGGTAAGCAAAGAATATCCTCCTATGATACTATGCACTAAACTATGTGTTTCCTATAATTAAGAAAATTGTCAATAATTAGTCATACCATGGTTGCTGCTAGGTTTTGCAGTTGCAATGAGCTCTCACAAATGAGGGTGTGGCTGTTGAATTTTAAACCAAAATCTAATGTTTTGATGAATCTTTAATTCAAACTTTTAACATGCTAAAGCTATTTAATGAGATTTAGGATTAGAAGGTTTTAATACAGATTTTGAAAAATGTATTAATTCTATTCAATCATTCCATGTACAATGAAATATTTTAGAATATATTAGAATAGTTATGCATATCTGCTCAGAAAATGGAAGAGAGTTATTACTTCTCTGGCAGTTTATTGAAGGGAGTAAATTAAATATTAAAATGCAATTTTAAGAGTTGGCTTTGTTTTATGAATAACAGTTGATTTTTTTTTAAGGAGTATTATTGCTCATTTTCCAATTCTTAAAGTTAGAGCTGAAATAAGACAAATCAAATTATAAATGTCTAAATCTCGGATCTTTATTCAAGCAGCACTTCTACCGAACACATTTGGAGTTTGGCTCAGAAAGTGATCAGTCCTTTTTTTATATATGCAGTATTTTTAGTGCACTGTTTGACATTAATTGGCTATGTTTTCACTTTCTCTGTTAATCACTGAGGATGCTTGCAGATCTCAGTTCATATCCTTTTCTGCCTACCTTTAAATTAAGGCAGCAGTTTTCAACTTATTTACCATTGTGGGTAGCAAACGTGCCCCACAATATGTAATATAAGCTTCATCCTATGCTATGTGATGGCCCTGAGGGTTGACATGGGTTGTAGTTGTATAGTTGAGAACCACTGGATTAGGATATTGTGGATCTAGTTTTGGAAAGTCATAGTCTCTTGTACATAATCAAGGTGAACTGACTTAGGGATCAAAGAATACGATCAAATGTATCCTCTTTGTAAGATTGTATTTACTCAGAGTAAAATTCAGTTTCCCTAGTTAAGTCAGAGTAACTGGGCTTTTCAGTGGAATGTCCAGTATGTGACGGTGGGAAATACACTCCTACTTAGGAGCCAGGTCTCTGCGCTTTCTCAGCTGCTACTGAAGTTTATGGGCTTGCATAGTGTTTGAGAAACATTGGGTCAGCACAGGTTAAGGGAAAATTAGGAATGTCTCCATACCCTGCATAATGATGAGGGGGTTCTCTACACAGGTCATGCGTAAATTAGCAATGATGGGAACATGTAAAGAGAGAGGCCACCATATTCTTGTTTATGTGGATCCAATGTGGAATTTACATTGTGTAAAGGACCAGGTGATGGTCTTTTTCTTTGAGCAAAATTCACGTGCGTGTTAGCTCTTATATTTGTTCCTCCCATCTCGATAAGACTATTTTCTTCATCAATCTCAAGGCAAACTTTAAAACATCAGCATACATAATATGAACCCAAGGAACATAATGGTTAAAAATACAGAGTAATATGACAATCAGTTTGACTGTATGTCCCACAGGTGCCTGCCAATGTTTTCCCACCTCTTAACATCTTCCCTGTCATGTGCCATGTGAGCTGGTTCCTCCAATTCAATTTCTGCTTCACAAATACCCCTGATTTCAATTGGAGTTAGACAACTGAATATCTCAGGGTATGTCTACAGTAGCCCCCTTGTTTGAACTAGGGAGGCTAATGTAGGCATTCGAAGTTTCAAATCGAGCCTGGGATTTAAATATCCCGCGCTTATTTGCATCTTCCCGGACGGTCGCTTTTTTTAAAAAATTTACAAGTCCAGACTAACTGCCCGCGTCTACACGTGGCAGGGACCTGGTAGTTCGAATTAAAGCCCCTAAATTGAACTACCCGTTAAACCTCATTCCAGGAGGAACAACAGGTAATTTGAACTACCGGGTCCCTGCCGCATTTAGACACGGACAGTTAGTCCAGACTTGTAAATTTCAAAAAAGTAATGACCGGCTGGGAAGATGCAAATCAAGCGCAGGATATTTAAATCCCAGGCTTGATTTGCAACTTCAAATGCCTACATTAGCCTCCCTAGTTCGAACTAGGGGGCTAGTGTAGACATACCCTCACAAGATCAGGGCCTTAGCCATGCTGGACCTCAGCACCTCATTTGTACGTTGAGGATAAATATTTTGCTACACTCCAAGAGTGATGTGAGGATAAGCATAATAATAGAAAATTAGGAATCTAGGAATTGCCATTGTATCCTGTCTCTCACCATGACTACTACTAGCAACTTCAGAGGAAGAAATCCTGTCATAAGCAGTTATGCAATAAACCACCTCAGGGAACATTTCCTCCTAGTCCTTGGTGGTTAGACTAGTTTATGCATTGAAACTCAAAGGTTTATATTCTTTTCAAAGCTCTTGTGTATTTTTTTAAAATTACTATTATAATTGGATGTGTGTTATCTTTATAAATCCTTTTGGAATCCTGCTAAGCTTTTGGCTTCAGTAATAACTTGTAGCAATGAGTTCCAAAGTCTGAATGTTATATGAAATGCTTTCCTTTTATCAGTTTTGAATCTGCATGCCTTCCTCCCCCCCCCCCCCCCCCTCTTATTATGAGAGTGATTTGGAAGTTCCCAGTCTGTTTATTAATATCAGTTGGTTTTTCTTTATTCACTATCTCACTGACCTATTCAAAGAATTCTAACATGAATGATGTGTTATATTCCACTGCAGAAATCCTGCTGGTTAGTCCCTTTAATATCATGTTCCTCTAGGTGTTTTATAACTCCAATTATGGTTTCAAAACATTTATTGGACTTAGTCTATAAGAGCTAACCACAACAGTACCTTTGTTGTGCTAAGATACTGTAGTAACTTGGGTCACAAAAATAGTTAGTAAAATATTCTCCCATTTGACTTTTCAACGAGATGTACATTTTTAAAGAGACAATGCCTTTTATTTTTGATAGTAAGGAGAGACTCTTACAACACTTAATGCACTGTTGTGTGGAACACTACTATGATTCTACTTGAAACCTATTGGGCCAAGTGTTTGTCTGCAGTTGCTCACATGGTGGTAGTGCTTGGCGTTGATGGTCTTGCTTACAACTGTGCAAGTGACAGAGCATTTTGATGAGAATATTCCAAAAATAAATTGGCTTAATTAGCTTCTCTCAGATGAACCTGATGCCCTACTGTTTTAAGTGTTCTCTCATTCTAGAATTACCAAGACAATTTTTCACTCCTAATAGTTTTTACTGGAACAGCAAGTAAGGAGAGTGATTGTTACACATTTTATCATGCCTGAAACAATCTCTTCTTAAGTACCTTGTCTTTTACAAGATGTTTTATCTTGTACCTCCTAACATCAAAGCAGCATGAATATTCCATAAACGCCACCCTACTCCTAGCATGGTGTTTGTTCCCTAATTAAATATCAGAATGTTGGGTGAACCTGATTGTTTCTTTCGTTTAGCACTTGAAGTGTAGCTTTATGAAATGTATAATATATTTGTCCTTGAGTGATCCTTGTTTAGTAATCCCAGTTCAGTCTGATGGGTGGACTTCAAAATCACAGGTTTTTTTCTGTTTCTATATTTTGTGTTATATTTATTGTTCTGTAGAGTGGTAGAAAATTTTACATTGGAATATTTTATCTTTGCTGAATTACCACTGCATCAGCTTCAATCAAATGATCAGACCTTCAATTGTGGGCTGATCCAAAGCCTAGTATGAAGGTTGCGTCAGAGATGGCGAAGTCATCAGCAGTAGAATGTTTTCAATTAATTTATCTTTTTATGCAAATTTAAAAAAAACTATGCAGGAATCTCCTTAATTTTTAAGTTGTCCTTAGGAGAAGCAGCATAGATGTGGAACACTTTTATTTTAAAAAGCAGCAAGCTACTATAAATACTGCTTTAATATTCAAACCCCAAAAGAGATGTTTTTTTCTGAGACGAGGACAAATTTCTCAGTTTCTTTAAGTTGGATACAAATAGAATGCAGCACTCTTCCTCCCTTTTGATAAGCAGTATGTTCAGTGCATCACTCTCACAACTTTTGTTATGTTCTTTATTGTTGCTGTTTAACCATTTTCTACCTACCCACACTTTGTATTGAAAACTCTTGTTCACATTTTTAAAACAATGCTAAAAATTATGGGACTCCAAAATGGAGAGGGTGGGTGATCAAAATATAATCTCTGACATTTAGAGGGGTTAATCATGGATAAGTGCTGCATGCAAAGCAAAAGCGTGCAGAGCCTCTATGTGCTGTCCAGAAAAATTATCAAATTGCAGATGCATAAGGGCTGGGCAACATCCTTTCACTATATGCATGTACTTGCTTTCCTCTATCCATCCTAGGTGAGATCCTGGCTCTATGGAAGCTAGTAGAAGTTAAATCAACCCCACCCCCAATTTAAACTGTGATACCTGAAAAGGAAAAAAAGAAGTGATGGTGGTAGGTGTGAGTGATCATTTTGGAGGGATGTTCAGAGATGTGTGTGCAGGCAGGGCTGTCCTTAGGCATAGGCAGAATAGGCAGTTGCCTAGGGCACCAGTATTTCTGGGGCACCACTCTGCCAGGAGCAATGGGAAGCAGTGGAACATGCAACAGCAGGGCTGCTGGGTCCTAGAGAGAGCCGAATGCGCTGCCTGCAGCACAGTCTGAGGGAGAGGATTGGCTGCTGGGGTCTCTGGGGTCCATAAATCCCAGCTCCTGCAGTCCTGTTACTAAGTGGCACTCTCTGTTTTCTTCAAACATTTCTAAGCTTCATGGTTAAAGAGAAAATCTTTGAGAGGAGATATTATGCATGTTGTGATTACATATTTATGTCCCTATGAGCATATCTGGATCTTTAAGAGGTAATTTTGGGGAAGGGGGGAGTGAGTGGGGGGGAGTGGAGAGGTGGAGAGGTTACAAAATAAAAGGAAAATGTACATGCTTTATGTAAATGATAGAATTTTTTGAAAATGAAGGGGAAAAGGAAGTTTGTATTAATATCAGAAGGAAAGTGATTAAAACATCAGATACAGTTTTTTTGGTGGACAGTATTTGCAAGTTTTCTGTCTTTTTTGCTAGAATAAAAAGGGGTGGGGGTACAGGAGTGAGGGCAGGGGGCTGGGAGAGTTGGGCAACTCAGGGCAGGGGTTGAAGGGTGCTGGAGTGAAGGCAAGAGGTAGGGGGCTGAGGGTTTGGTGCGTGGTGTTAGGGCAGGAGTCAGGGCAGAGATATGGGGGACTTTTGGTAGGGGTTACGATGTGTGGGCAGGGGGCTGGAAGGCTTGTGGAGGCAGCTCAGGGCAGACGGTGATAGAGTGAGAGCAGGGAGTGACAGAGCATTTTGATGAGAATATTCCAAAAATAAATTGGCTTAATTAGCTTCTCTCAGATGAACCTGATG